CAGGCTTCCTGGATCTCCGATGCCCCCATTCCTAGGAGTGCTGCTGCCCCACCAATCGCCCTACCCCAGTCACCGCCATCCTCCTAGCCACCAGTCCTGCACTGCCACCACCCTCTCAGTGGTTGCGACCACAGCCACCACACCACCCATGTCCCTTTCCCATTGCCATCACTGTGGGTCACCTCTACTGTCCATGTGATAGTGACCACAGCTAGACGCACAGGGAACTTCTGAGAGCCACACATCACAAGTTAAGCAGGGAACTTCCGGGAGCCCAGCTGCTCTCCTGTCTCCGGGGTTCACACGGGTTTCTGCCCAGACAGAGGGATTCTAAATCTGGGTGCTTCACCCCCACCCCACCACTGGCCCCAGGCCTTGGAGAAGGGAAGTTCCCCACACTCCCTGCAAGGAGAGCAGCCTCATAGGGCAACAGGCCTGGCAGGCAACCAGGGAGCCAGACCACACCCCTAAACCTCTCCCCTCACTCTGGGCACTGGTGGGGTAGCTCCTGGAGACCCTGCTTGCCTATTCATCCCACCCCAGTTCAGGTCACCCGTGAGCCCTTTCCCTTCTCCCACCCTGCCTCATCTCCCCACATGGCCTCCCAGTGCCCAGGCTGGGGTGGGCAGGGTGGTCGGAGCAGGCCTGAACCTCTGGATGGGTTGGGCAGGACAAGTAACAGGCTAGCCTCAAAAAGACCCACCCAGGGGGCCCCTGTCTCCCAATCCCTGCCTCCCGGCCGCCACAGTCAGCAGCTGGCTAGGTATCCAGTGGGCCAGCACTTCAACTCCTCACAGCTGATCCTGACCCTCCCACCCTGACCCTACATGATCCAAATCCACCCCTCCCCAAGGGGAACACCAAATGGGAGTTTAAGCAACCTCTACCCTCTTTGGGCCTCAGTCTCCCCAGATGTTCCACAAGCAGGAGGCACAATGTCCTTACAGACTGCTTTGGCTGGCTTTGGCTTCAACCAGAGCTGAGTCCCGGGCAGCTGCAGCTTTCCCATCCATAAAATGGGCGTCCTCACACTTGCGGTTGCTCCCCAGCGGGTTCCCAGCCAGTAATGACAGGGCTGAGGGCTTTGATGTCCCAGATGAAAGGCTGTCCTGGCTCCCAGGCTGGCCCCAGGACCGCGGATTCCCTGTCCAGAAAAGTAGGCACCACCCTCCTAGAGCTTGGCCAGAACCAGGGAAAGTGGGCTCCACCTGGTTCGCACCAGAGGCTGGCCTCCCCCACAGGGTCCCCAGCCAGGACAGGCCATTGGACAGGGAGGACCCAAAAGAAGCAGGCTCTGGACCCCTCCAATGATTCAGGAGCAGGGGAGGGGCAGAGTGCTCTCCACTAAAGGCAGAGACCCACTGGACAAGCCCCAAGCTCCCACCTATCCCCTGCAGGAAAGCCAGCCTAGTGCATGCTGGGAGTGAGAGCCTCACGGTGGGTCCAGGGTGCTAGGGCAGCTCCTCAATATCTCTCCTGGCCCCGCCTAGGCCCAGCACTGCCCTGGACCCTGAGCACAGGTTCCCTTGACCCACCTGACCCACCTGACCCCACACTACCCTGGCCCCAAGCACGGGGTATCCTGACCTACCTGACCCCACCCAGATCCCACACTGCCCTGGTCCCTGAGATGGGATTCCCTGACTCACCTGACCCCTCCCAACCACCCACTGCCCTGATCCTCAAGCACGGGATACCCTGACCCACTTGACTCCATCTGACCCCACATGCCATGGTCCCTGAGGACTGAGTGGCCTGACCCACCTGACCCCACATGCCCTGATTCCCAAAGATGGGGTATCCTGACCCACCTGACCCCACTGAGACTCCACTGCCCTAGACCCAAGGAGAGGGTGCCCGGTTGGTGCCTCTGACAGGCCGGGGGTCACAGGCAGCTGCACCGTGTTTTCAGGACTGTGGGCCAGGTGGGCTTCCCACCCTCTCCTCTGAGAGCAGGGTCCTGAGAGTATCTCCCCTGTCCCAGCAGCAGAAGCCAGTCAGGGCAGTACTTGCTGGTCAGGGATAACCTTGCCCCCGCATAAGTCTGCATATTCTCAAAAGGGAAAGGAACAGATAGGGAGGGGTCAGGGGCCGAGCTGCCCCAGGCTGCCAGTGGCCCCTGCTGCTGGGGCTGGCATCCCAAGAGATATCTACAGTGGTGAGCAGAGTCCGGGGTGAGGGGGGCCTGTGGCCTGGTACGTGGGCCCACATGGCCAAGAGCAGGACAGGGTCTGCTTGGGGACGGCTGTGGGTCCAGCGGGAGGCTCTCTGCCAGCTGTTGAGTGCTGTCCACCCCAGCCGGCTGCTGCCCTCGTCGAGGAGATGCAGTAATTCCTTCACTCATTCATCCCTTCTTCATCCAGTGCTCCATCTGCCCCCCAGGGCCCAGCCCTGTGCCCATGCCGGGGTGCCGTGATGACTCAAACCACACAGGGTGGGACGTGTCCCAGTGGAGGGGCCCCTGGTTGCAGAGGGCTCCACACCCACCACCTGGAGCCAGGGAGGGGGCAAGGGGCGGGGCTGGCTACGGAGTGGGAGTCCCAGGCATAGGATAGGGGCTGCAGAGGCCCAGCTGCTGGGCAGGGCTGAGATTCCTGGGGAGCTGGGAGGGGGGTGCAGCCCAGAAAAGGAGGTGCAGGGAGTGGGACACCGTGGGAGGAAGCAGCACAGGGAAGGGGGTGCAGCATAGTGGGGGGGGTACGGCAAGAGGAGGGGGTTACAGTACAGGGGACAGGATGCAGGGAGTGGAACACTGAGGGGGGGAAACAGCCCAGAGGAGGGGGAGGAGCACAGGGGAGAAGGTTCAGGGAGGTGGAGCGCTGTGGTGGAAACAGCACAGAGGAGGCAAGTGCAGCACAGGGCAGGAGGTGCAGGGGGTTGGAGGACCGTGGGGGGAAGCAGCCCATAGGAGGCGGGTGCAGTACAGGAGTGGGGTGTGGGGCTTGGAGCACTGTGAGGAAATACTGCACAGAGGAGGGGAAGGGATGCAGCACAGCGGGGGCGGGGGATAAACAGCACAGGGGAGGAGTTACAGCAAGGGGTTAGAAGTGCAGCACTGGGGGATGCTTAGGGCCAGGACCACAGCCTGAGTCCCAGCTGGGGCAGTCCCAGGCCAGCAGAAAGCTGCACGGAGGGGGCCGCATCCAGAGGCAGCCTCGGCAGACCTGGCAGGTGGGGACACCGATGGGACGGAACAGACCTAGGGAAGCTAGCTGGTTCTGCTGGGGACACACTGAGTGTAAGCCACACCCTAGAGACCAGGAGGCAACCACAGCCCTTGCCCCAGTGGCCCAGGAGGGCAGGCGAGGCCACAGGCTCAGAGCTCAAAGGGGTGAGTCTCCCCCAAGGGCCCAGGGTCTCTGACCATGGGACAGCCCAGCACTCAGAGGTCAAGGCAGAACCCCCACAGGAGGGATTGGCCCTGCTGCGCAGGGAGCTCAGGGTCCTGAGTCTTGAGGTGTCCACATGTGTGTCCACTCCTATCTCCCTGAAAGGCAGGCGGGAACGAGGCTCTCCAGAGGGGCTGCCATCACCCCTGTCTTGGTTTCCCCAGAAACACAGCCCAATGGGAAGGGAGCCAGGAGCCCCCAGAAAAGTCTGCTTCCTGCCAGCCAGGCCCCAAGCCTGGCTGCCAGCCCATCCCAGGACCCCAAGATCTGGGAGAGTCAACAGGAAATGGCCTGGGGGGTTAGAGAGGAATGTGGGTTTGCATTCCCTCCTCAGCTGCCTGCCACCTTCTCTGAAGGGCATTCGCCAGCACAGCAGTTCCCGCAGAGGCTGAGGGCAAGTCCCCAGCACGACGTCCCGAAGCCCTCGGGTCCTGGGGACACACCCCTCCAATGCCTGCTGCACCCTTCCCCAGGGACCCTCAGAGGGCAGCATGTCCAGCTCAGGGCTGCCTAGCGAACCCCAGAACCACCGGAACAACCGATGCATCTTTTATTCACAAATAAAAACCGCAGCAAGGAGTTATCTACATGTTTGTACAAAGGTCTGGGCGCCCTCTAATATGAACTCAAACCTGCCATGCAGGGGACGTCGCAAACATTGGCAGGCTCACCCCTTGGCTACATTTGGCAAGATGCACCATCCAAGGATCCCCAACCCTGCCCGGGGTGTCCCCAGAAGGCACCACCCCCGCAGCTGGAGGGAGCTCATCCCTAGGGACCCTTTTTCGTAGAAAACCCTAAAAACATAGATCATTTGTCTTCAAATTCTCATGGCAAACTCCGCATTTATAGGCAAAATTATATAAAAATATGAACCTAACAGAACCTTACAAAACCCTAACCCCCATCTTTGTTGTTAGTGGTGGTTTTCTTTTTTGCTCGTGGTTTTGGTAAAAATTCCTGGCATGGACGGCATCGTGTGCCGTGGCTCAGCCCTTGTGTGCTGTTTGTGGCATCCTCAGGACAGAGTGGGAGACTCAGTAAGGGAGGGGACTCAAGGTTGGCCACCCCTGCCCGGGAGACGCCCAGCATGGATCTGTGCTGGGAACACACAGACCGCAGGGACTGGGAACCCCAGTACATGCCCTGTCCAGAGGAAACCGCCATGAGGAAAAGTGATCCTGAATCCTAAAAAAGAGCCCTGGGGTGCAGGTCTGTCCTGTCACATAAAACCGCTCCACTGCCCAGAAGACAAGACCCATGCGGATGCAGCTGGCCCCAGGCCCGGCCCAGAGGCTCAGTGCTGCAGGGCCCCAGCTGGAGCACCCACTTGCTGGTGTCTTGAGTCACGTAGCACCAAATGCAAAAAGGAGAAATGTCCAAGTCAAAGTCAAAGGCACTTGCGTTGCTCTCGGGTGTCGACGGTTTTCTGGTCACCGCGCACCCCGCTCCATCCACCCTCCCTCCCCGCCCTCCACCTCCTCTTTCAGATCCCGTCCTGCACAAAAGCCCTCTGTGTCCTCCTCCCGAAACCCCACCACATTCTCGCTCCGTCTCACATCCCACTCTCACGCTCCCCACACATCCCCTCCCCTGCGTCCACATCCAGCCTCAGACGTCCACCTCCTGCGGCCCTGGGACGGCAGCTGTGGTGGCAACACTGATGTCGAAGCAGGTGACCATCATGACGTGGGCCTTGCACAAGTTCACGCACTGCTCCAGGGCGGCTGTCACCCGTTCCAGGGCTGCCAGGTACTCGGCCGACTCAGGTTCCAGCTCTGGGTCCACCTCAACTGGAGGGGATGGAGCAGCGGGCACAGGTCAGCCACCCGTCCCCCCACCCCCAAAGACCCCAGGAGAGGTGTCCTGGCCCGACTGACCCTGCCCCTGGTCTCCCTGACATGGGATACGTAACAGCAACTTGAGTTTGGGGAGGGGTGTGGTGGCTAGGGCAGGGGCTTCTGGGCTGCAGGGCCTGTCTGGATCCCGACACGGCTCTGGGACACCCTCCCTACCAGGTGGAATGCCAAGGGGCAGCACTGGTGGCCCCAGGAGCTCCTCTGCCGCTCAAGGGTGATGTTAGGGGTGCCAGGTCTGGGCTGAGCAGGGCCAAGTGAGACTCACACTGCTCCAACCAGCGGCCTGGCTCCACCATCAGGCGGCCCTGGGTCTCCGCCAGTTCCTCACACAGGTGTTCGTGCCTGGCCCGCACCTCCCGAAGTCGCTGCTGCCTGCGTTCCACCAGCCGCAGCTTTGCGCCCGCACACACCAAGCCCTGGGTGTTGGAGCAGGGGCTCAGCAGGAGGACCCAGCGCTCCCAGGTGGGCAGGGACCCCCACCGTGGCCACATGCCGCCCCACCTCCACCAGTCTGGGAGGGCACACGGGGGGGCCTCAGAGGTGGCAAGGTACAGGTGGGGCCCCCACCAGGGCTCCCAGGGCACCCCCCAGTGCCCATCTGGATCCCGGCACAGCTCCAGGACACCTCCACCAAGTAGAATTCCAGGGGACAGTGGTGGCGGCCACAGGACCCCTCCAGTCACCCACCCGCTGCCCACGGGAGACATGAAGGCCACCAGGTTCAGGCTGAGGAGGACTGGTTCCTACCTTTGTGTCCTGGGACAGCTGTGGACAAGAGGGGAAAGTGAGGTCAGGGGCTGCCCCATCACAACCCCAGAAGCCCCGTGAGCCTGTCGGATGGCCTGCTCTGCCATCTGGAGTCAGGCGGTGGCCTTGGGGCTCACAGATCAACTCTCCAACCCGCCCAACCCTGACCTCAGAAGGGTTCTCCCGCAGGGCTGGGCGCGGCCGCTGCAGACGCTCCACATCGTCAATCTCGTACACCTTGATCTCGAAGGGCTCCTTCAGAGAGCCAGCCAGAGGTGGGGGCAGGTCCACCCACTGGCCAGGGAGGCCAGGCTTGCGGCCCAGGGCAGCGGCATCTGGCAGCGGGGCTGGGATGAGCCGTCGCCGCTGCAGACCTGGAATGGAAAGCCGGGTGCAGGTTGGGCAAAGGCCGGGGCACAGCCTGGATGCCAGACCCTGGCCAGGGGACGAGGGGAGCTGACCAGGGGCCTGACCGGGAGAGCTTGAAGGCCCAGTCCATAAATCCTTAGCCTGGAACCTGGCTGGGGGCCCCACCACCCCTGCCACAGGGGGTTAGGCCCCATGCAGCACAGGGACAGGGTCTCGCCTCCAATGCCCAGGGTGACCCTGCCTCTTGCTCCCCGGGACTGTCAGACACCATCATTCCTACCTCAAAATGATCCCCCCATCCCCCAGAACTCGTACTCCCTCAGCCACGCCCGGCCCTCTCACCTGAACAGCCACACCCGCTGCCTATACAGCAGCTGCCGCATGGCCAGTTATCCAGGAGGGGGGCCCTGACACCCTAGCTGGCCACACCACTCTCTACCTCACAACGCTCCCTTGCTCTCAAGGCCCCAAGACAGAGAAAGGGCCAACCCCCAGCCAGGCCCACAGGCCCTCGCTGGCACCCTGGTCCTGCCCCTACAAGCGTCCCTCGCTTTTCCAACCTTGGCCTCGGCGGTTCTGTCCCCCAAAAGGCAGCCCAGGCAGGGGGCTGCCAGCAGTCAGGCACTAACCAGCAAGGCACCAGGCCTGGGACGCAAACCCAAGTCCTTTCCCAGCTCCCCAGTGTCCGAGCTGTGCCACCCGTGCGGGGTTGCCTGCGCTTACTCTGACATGGAGGAGGGCCAGCCTCTGGGGCAGCATGGGGATCAGAGAAGGGGATGTGTTGAGTGCATTTACAAACTGTAGAGGGCTGTGCACGCATATACGTGGCACGTCTGTCCGCTGCCAAAGGCCACGTGCCTCTGAGATCTATGATGATTGAGTCTGTCTGCCAAGCATTCCTCAGCTCTACAAACTGCAGAAGGCTGTGCATGTCTACATGCTGAGAACCTCAGGCACGTTTGCCCACTGTCAAGGGCTGCATGTCTCTGAGAGCTATGATGAACCAGTCAATCTGTCAAGCATCCCCCGAATCTACAAACTGTACAAGGCTGTGCGTGCCTACCTGCTGGAAAGCCCCAGGCACATTTGTCCACTGTCAAAGGCTGTGTGCCTCCTGATCTGGTATGGTCGTGTCTGAAAAGCGTCCCCCTGTTCTACAAACTGCAGAGGCTGTGCCCACTGCAGGACTGGCGCTACCACCCACCTGTGGCCCTCTTCTTGGGGGACCTGAGGCTGCGGGAGCGGGCGCCTGGGGAAGCAGCCCCGCTCTCACTCATGGAGTCGGGGGCGGAGGAGGCACTGCCGGTGGCCTCGCTGTCACGCATCATGCTCTCGTAGCCGCTGCTGCCACCGCTGTGGTAGAAGAGGGCAGTGCGGCCCATGGCGGGCGGGAGCTCCCCGCTGAGCACACTGCTGTTGTCGCTGCCGTGGCCGCTGCTGTAGCGCTGGGGCCTCCGTGGCGCCGTCACCTTGCTGTAGGGGGAGGGCAGGGCCGGACCCACGGGCGGCTGCTCTTCCCCCAGGTTCACGCCACTGTCATTGCCACTGTCTGAGTCGGCTGAGCCCCACGAGGGGCTGCCTCGGCCAGGGACCCCACTGGCTGCCAGCTCATTGACACGGCTGTGGGCAGCCCGCAGCGCCTGCTTGGTGCCCATGATGGTGCCCCGGCCGGCCTTGGCCCCAATGCCAGGCCCAGCTCGTGGGGCTGCCCTGGGACCCGTCACGGGGCTGCCAGGACTCTTGCCCACCACAGAGGCCAGCGGCTTTACTGAAGCACCCAGAGCTCGTGACCCACTGGTCGCCAGGCTACGGCCCTTGCCCCCACCCACCGGCGGCTTGGGGGCTCCCAGGCCCTTGGCCAGGCTGCTCCTACAGGTCGGAGTCAGCCCAGGCGCAGGACTGGCAGGCGGCACACCCAACTTGGGCACAGCCCGGGGCAGCCGGCCAGGGGATTCCCTAGCCTTGCCACCACCATGCGCCAGGCCCTCATACCGCTCCAAGGATGTGTGGCCAGCAGGACGGTGTGCCACCTCCACCTTGCCAGGCCGGGCCTTCAGGCTGGATGTGGCCCTGGGGGTAGAGTGGTCAGTGCGGCTGCCAGACATGGCATCCTCCTCTCCCCGAAAGGTGGCAGGGGCCCCAACCCATGTCAGGCCCATGGCCTGGGTAGGTGCCAGGGCTGGGCCATTCTTGTGTTCCAGGCTGGATTTGCGCACAGGCGGAGCTGGGGGGGCCGCCCCGTTGGGCCTCGGGAAGAAGGGCCCTTTGGAAGCTACACTCTTCTTGCTGGTGGGGGAGGCCTTCGGGCTGCCTGAGCAGGTGGCCTCTGCTGGAGAGTCCCCCCAGGACACGGTGGGTGTGGTCACGCCCAGTGTGGTGGCACCCCTCCGCAGTGGCGGGATCCAAGCCATGGCCTCAGGCCTTCGAGCTGCCCTGGCTGCCACCTCACACCCGTCCACCACCCTCTGAGCACAAGCTGGCATTGCTGGGGCCTCAGGCAGCCGGGGGGAGCCTGGGGTGGGGCTGGGAGCAGAGGCCACCTGGAGCGTGTCACATTCCCCTGCCCGGAGCAGCCATGGGTCTTCAAACAGGCTTCCAGGGCCAGGCGGGCTCTGGCCTAGGTGTGTGCAGCCTGCACGACCAGCTGTGGCGTTAGTCCTCGACTTCCGGGGTAGGCTGGAATGGAGGGTCTGTGCCACAGGCCCCCCACGTGGAGACCCAGTCCGGGACTCTTGGCCCAGTCGAGTCGGGGATGCTGCAGCCACCTCGCCGGGGCAAAGACTCCGGGCCGGGCTGGGCCCATCGGGTCTGTCGTGCTCTAGGAACCTGTGGCTGCTGTCCTGCAGGGAGCTGTCCAGGCCAGGGGCACCCAGGGGCGAGTCAGGGCTGAAGGAGGACTGCAGCGTGGAGCCGCGACTGTCAGCGGTGCAGACGCTGACCTCACTGAGCCAGGAGCTGATAGAGGAGCTGTAGCTCCCGCCAGACCATGCTGTGCCACCCTGGGGCCCTCCCACACCAGCCGGGACTTCGGGGGCCTGCGAGGTGTAGGCGTCGAATTCGTCATTGAGGCTGCTGATGATGCTGACTGGCCGGGAACCTGAGGCCAGGGCCTGCAGGGAGCAGTCACTACCGAGGCTGGCCAGGCTGGAGGGCCGCGCAGCACCGGCCAGCCCACCCAGGGACAGCTCCTCCACCACCGTGAACACCAGCTCATCCTCGCCATTCAGCTCCACGGGCTGCTGCAGGGTCACCGTAGTGGTCAGCAGGCCTCGCTCCAGACGGCGGCCCTGGGCGGACGGGCAGGGGCCAGCGGCATCCGGCAGCAGTGGGGGCTGGCCTGCCTGCCCACTCATGCCCACAGGGGGTGTCCGCACAACACCATCAGCGGCCCCTCCCCCAGGCTCCTCCAGGACTCCGTGGGTTTCTGGTGGCTGAGGGGGAGGGGGGGCCGGGCTGGGCAGCGGCCTCCTGCCTCCGCCCCCTGGGGCCTTGTCCAGGATGGGCAGCTCAGGCTGGGCACTGCCATCCTCTCTCTGGTCACCCCGGGTGTTGGCCTTGGAAGGATGGTCTGGGCCAGGGCTGCCTCGAGGGGTGCTGGTGGCCATCGGGGATCCCACGGCCTTCCTGGGGGAGGCGGCCTCAGGAGGTGAGGACCTCCTGCCTGCTCGAGCAGGGCTGGCCTGGGCCGAGTTTCGGCCACCGGGGGCTCCCGAGGGGCCCTCGTGGCCGTCGATGCATTCCAGCCGCTCCTGCAGCTCGGCGAAGGTGCTGCAGCGGAAGTGGTCGGCATCCCGAGGGCCGGTGGCCGGCCGGCAGCGGCTCAGGGCCGGGATGATGGGCACAAAGTCAGGGGGGCCCTCGTCGTCCGTGAGCTCCCGGTCAGACAGCGCCACCCCACCAGGCCCCACGTAGATGACCGTGTCACAGGACTGCTCACTGCTAGACGAGTAATCAGGGTCGCCGGGAAGGCCAGGGGCTGAGCGCTCGGGGTCCAGGGCCATGGTGCGAGGGTGGAAGGGTCTCAGGGGTGGTGGCCGGCGGGCCCGGCTCTCCTCACAGGAGCTCTCCCCGCCTGAGGAGCTGGAGGCATACTGGGGACGGAACAGGCCCATGAGCCAACCTCCTCTGAACACCCTACCCGACTGCCTCCTGCTCTCCCTGGGACCCAGTCCTGCCAGATATTGGGAGTTGCTAAGCCTTGGGCGAGACCCTCAGTGACCCAGAGCGACCATGCAAGGAAACAGCATCACCATGTCACAGGGCAGGAAAGATGCTTAGAAAACCAGAGTATTCCCACAGCCACACGACCTACAGTCGCACTGGACTCATGCCCGGGACCCTCCAACCCCAGCACCCAAACTCCACCCTCTGGCTCCCAGAACAGGAGGAGCTTGGGAAGTCTTGGCTGGGTTGGTGCGGCTCTCCAGAGGCCCAGGGCCCGGTGCTGGGGCCGCAAGCTGGAGAGTTCTGGCTGCCGCAAGCCCTCAGTAAATAGCTCTCAGGTCAGGCAGGGCCACCCAGGCTCCAAGGTCTGTCTGCTCCCCTCCCCCACCATGCCCAGCAAGGGGCCTGCAGGGGACACAGAGACCAGGGAGGAGTCCTCAGTAGGGTGTGTGGGAGACAGCCTCACCTTGGCCTTCTTCCTGTGCAGGCGGTGGATGCGAGCGGCCAGCTGCACTGTACTGAGCGTCTCAGCGTGGTGAGCTGGTGCGTCCGAGACATGAGCAATCATGGTGGTGCGGCAGCTGGTGGTGGCCAGGGACTCCCGCAGCAGCATGGTGAGCCTGTGGTCCCTGGGGACCAAGGAGTCTGAGGCTCTGAGGGTTCCAGTGAAAGGCCGGGCACAGGGCAACCCCGGGGTCCAGTCTGGCTCCCACCTGAGACCCAGGACCCTCCACCAGCCCAGCACTGGGCCCAGGGGCACCATCCGGCAGAGAGGCCCATCAGGCAGTGCAGGAGTCAGGCCCAGGGATGTATGGAGCACACTAGACTGGAGCCCGGTCCCCACCAAGGAGTCACCCTGGCCAGCATCCACAAAAGCACCCACACTCACCGGTAGGGCACATGCTTGGCTCCATTGACCAGGGCCAAAATGACACTGCCCAGAGCTGACAGGGATAGGCACAGGGGTCCCCCGGTCGTCTCCCCACCTCTTCCAGATGCTGCCTCGCAGCTGCCCAGGTCAATGAGGTGGAGGCGGCTGCGGCCTCCAGACACTGAAACGGCAGAACAGGAAAGTGGCGGCTCGGTCTGGGCCCCTGGCCCTAGCCCCGGCCCAAGCAGGAATGCTCAGGGAACACTCCAGGGGACACCCTAGAGGACGGTGGGTGACAAGGACCCCGGGCTCAGCAGGCAGGCACCTACTTCCCCCACGGCCACACTTGTCCATGCGGTACTGGTAGACGTGCAGCGTGAACAGCATGTGGGAGCTGTGCCAGGCATCCTCCCCACAGCCACCCCGGCTGGTGCTGCGGGCAGCCAGTGCCGCATCCAGGTAGAAGGCCGCCTTCTCGGCCGTGGGCGCCCGCAGCTCACTCTGGTTCTGCAGCTGCAGGAGATGAGGGGAATGTGTCTTCAGCGGTTCAGGTGAGCACAGCCCTGACCCCCACCTCCCCACCCCCCCAAGGGCTGGTGGGCCAACACACCTGAGCCCCAGACACGGGGTCCTCCCGCAGGTACACGCCTGGAGACTGGGCATCCTGGAGGCTACCAGAGGCCACCTCGGCCAGCAGGTCCCGCAAACTCTGGTCACGGCCGCACACCTCCACGGCCGACACCCGGACAGAGAAGCGAGTGCCCATCCGCTCCTTGCGCTGGTCAATGAGCCGGAAGAGCCAGGAGATGGCGCAGGGCATGATGCCCAGGCTCTGGGGGGAGTTGTCCTTCCCGATCATGGTGTATGATTTGCCTGGGGGTCAGGCGGGCACATCAGGGACCCCCAGCTCTGCACAAGCCTTCAGAGTCAAGCGAGACTTGGGGACCAACTCCCCAGCCTTGCCAGGGATCCTCAGAGCCAACCTGGAGCCACTGAGCCCTCAGGGGCCTCCTCTGCTCCATCCCAAGGCCTCCAGTTTCCTCTCCTCGAGCTCCTCCCCCCATGTCCATGCTCTGCCCACATGGAGAACCGCCCCCCCTTCCCCACAGGAGCCCAGCCCAGCAACCACAGTGACAAAGATGGCTGAGGGAGACAGTCAGCAGACTTCATCTAGGGCAGGACGGGGCACTCACCAAGGCTCACGTGGCCGAAGGAAAAAATGCAGCCATCAGCACCACTGACCACCGACTGTAGCACGTCAGCCACAGTCCCCGAGCAGACTTCCGCCTGGGGGAGAGGCACAGAGCATCAGGCAGGCTCCAGAGCCGCCGGGCTGTGGCCACCACCTTGGGCCACATCTGGAAGCCCCAGGCCTGTCTGTCACGGCACACGCAGGTAGCCCATGGGGTGGCCGGGTTGACACACTTGGAACCAAAGACAGATCTGCCATGTACTCGCAGAAAGCATAGAACACACATGAATAGGACACGGAATACACACCACATACAGGATATCTGGACAGACACGTGCATACACAGACACACACTCCATCAAACCCAGAAGTCCTGCTGCCAAGGTGGACACATGCCTGGGACAGACCATAACACACGCAGACACGCACATGGCCACACTGGACACGTGTCTATGGCCGTGCCAGACGTGCACACAGCTGTACCAGACATGCCTATGGCAATGCTGGACATGCACACGGCCATGTCAGTTGTGCACACAGCCATACTGGACACACACATGGCTATGCAATGAACGGCACACCCAGGGGAGCACTGGGTACCCTGACCCCACAGTGAAGCATGATGCTGCTCAGGAAGCTTCTGGGAAGGGTGGGTTCCATAAAGCCAGCCTTTCCCCAGGAACTCAGCCTGGAGCAGCAGCAGGAGGTGGGCTGAGATACCCAGGGCACCAGCCAGCTGTGTCTGCGGGTAGCTGGGCCTGCTCACTTCTTCTCCCGCTCTCCTCACAGAGCAGCAACAAGATCTGCCCTGCCATTACAAACGGGCAACCTAGGCTCCCAGGACACCTGGTCCACCCATGTACCTGCTCAGAGTCCTGGGGGAAGACGGCATCAAAGGCGAACATCTTGGGGACCGACATGGTGGCAGCACGCCGGGGGCCTGTGCTGCCCGGTGGACCGGCAGCCGGGTCGTAGAGGGTCACCTGCTTCTTCCGAGGATCCACCTTCAGGAAGGACATGGCCTCGGCCGAGCGCTGGACTCCCTGTGCAGGCCAGATCCGTAGCATGACCTTCACCTGGGGGGAACAGCATCTAAGCAGCCACCCCCATGCAGCTGGCTCTGACAACCAGACAGGAGGAGCCATGCATGGTGGGTGGCAGGCCAGGTGGCACAGGCACCCACACTGCAGGAACACAGGCACCGCACCTGTGTTCCAGGTAGGCCAGACCTCACGTGAGGTCAGCAGAGCAGCGAGAAGATGAACCCAGGAGGGGGAGGCTGTGCAGAAGCAACAGGCACAGGACAGGAGACACGGGGCGGGGACATGAGACAGGATGGGGAGACAGGATGGGGACACAGATTGGGGACGGGGATAGGGGCACGGGATGGGGACATGGGATGGAGGACATGGGATTGGGACACAGGACAAGGGCATGGGAGGGAGTCATGAAACAGGGACATGGGACAAGAACATAGGACAGGGGCACAGGATGGGGACAAGGTGTGGGGACTTAAGACAGGGACACAGAATGGGGACAAAGGACAGGGCACAGGGCAGAGGGACAGGATGGGGACATTGGGTGCATGGGACAGGGACACAGGACAAGGATGTGGGATGGGGACATGGGGTGGGAGCAAGGAGTGGGGACACAGACAGGGACATGGGACGGGGCATAGAACAGGGAAACAGAACAGGGGCATGGAACAGGGACACAGGATGGGAGCACGGAACAGGGACACAGGATGGGGACACGGAACAGGGACACAGGATGGGGGCACAGAACAGGGACACAGGACAGGAGGCATAGAGAACCAGGGGACAGCAGGCTCCAGACACCCCTGTACACAGAGGGACGCTCAAGTCCAGTAGAGCAGCTCTCTCCAGGCGAGGACAGGAGGGAAGAGCTCACGCTGACCACAATCCCCAGACTCTTCTCCCCCAAGGAGCCGCTCCTCACCCAGAACCCACCAGCCCTGGCCCAAGTCCTTGAGGGCCCCTGGGGGCCGGAGCCCTGGCTGAGCAGGAGCACTCTCAGGAGGAGGGAATGGATGGCCCCACGGAAGGGAGGTGGCCCCAGAGGGCAGGCGGTGGCCTTGGGGGACTTCCAGCTCTGACCCAGGGCAGCTGGGGAAGCCATAATATCCCCACCCCTGGCCTGGCAGGACTCGTGTGGCAGACAGGAAGAGGAAACCCTCTCCAACACAGGCTGGGAGGGACAAGGCACGATGTAAAGCAGGGCAGTCTGTGCCTCATAAGCCAGCAGTGTGGGCAGGGGGAGACAGGCTGGGGACAGTGAGGGGAGGTTAGGCTTCCAGTCTGAGTTCCAGGCCTGCCAGGCATTCAGGCAGCCCTGGCTCAGGGCAGAACCCACAGTGCCTCTAAAGCACAATAGCAGAACCCAATCCCAGCCTGAAGCAGGTGTCCGAAAGCTTGGGGAGGGCCTGAGCTGCCGGCCCAACACTCCTGGAGGGAATAGACCCTGGGGGAGGGAGGCCAAGACACCAGAGCCTGAGCAAGCTTCTTGGCACACACCCCAAAACCTACGTGCAGGTGCATCTTGGGTATCGACACCAGCGGGGCCTGGGGGCCACCGACAGGACAGGCACCATTCACATGCAGGCACCACCCCGAATCAGGCTTCCCCTAGGGGCCGGGCCTGGGCCCCATTTCCCACTGGAGGCCCCCATGGTCCACTCTTGGATGAAATCTCTGATTTCTCCACGACAGGATAAATCAAATTACCCGAGACTCATTTCAGAGTCAATATTTTTCACGGATTTAATTGTAAGTGACAGATACATAACGCCGGCAAAATCGGTTTACCGTGGGCAGTTCGCACCATGCGCCCGAGACTCCCCCTGGGCATGTGGCAAATTGATATGCAAACCCGCGGCCGTCCGGAGGGCCCCCTCTCCGGGGAGCAGGTGGAGAAACACTTTTCTATTGTACGACTCTGAGCCCAGCTCCATTAGGCGAGAATCGATTCTTTTATTCCCCGACAACACGAACAAAACTATTTCATTTCCAAACGCCACCGCCAAGCAGACGAGAACGTGCACTTCCCGGTAATTTTTGGCAATTTTTTTTCCAGCGTGAACTAGCCGCCACCTCAGGAGCCAAATGGCTTCTGCAGGTTCAAGTGGATTCTTAGCGGGAAGGAGCTGCCGGAGGAAGCCCATGGCCCGCCCCAGACATCTGCCAGCTGCCCTCTCTGCAGGCGGTGCTGACCCCAGAATCAGGCTCACAACCAGGAAGGAGGACCACACCAGCCTCCCGGGGAGGGACGCAGCAGCCCCATGGTGAAGACACCGGCCCTTCAGCCCTCCCCATGCTACCCCGTCCCAGTGCCGGGCCATTGTCTGTCAAGAGACACCTCTGTCGTTATCACAGAGGAAGTGACAGGGTCTTACAGCAAGCTTCTCCCCTAAATGTTCACTTATTACAAAGCTCCACTGAATAGCTGCCTGGCAGGGGGAGAAAACACATTCTGTTTTTTTTTTTTTTTTTTTTTAAAGGGGGCTTCCAGCTCCTGGCAGGGGAGGGGGGAGGGGCGCTGCACCGCACCCACCCAGGGAGGGATGTCTTTTTTAATACCACAATGTGATGAATTATCTTAAGTAGCACATTAATGTCAGAAACGAAACGTAATCTAACTCCTTTTCCGTGACAGTATTAAACGCCTTTCAGGAGGCATTTCTGACGATGTGGCATTAGTGCTAATAACACCCAAAGAGCTGGGAGGGGCATAGTGGGATGCGGGGAGGACGGATGGCTGGTGGCCAGGGTTCCTTGTGTCTGGGAAGGCACTGAGTGGTCCAGACAGGGACGGGGCTGTGTCTGCCACAGAGAGAAGGGAGAAGCTCCCCAAGGTCAGCCTGAGAGGTGGGGAGATGGGAGCTGGCCCCTGGGGAATACAGCCGTAAGAATAAGGGCAGTTCAGAGCTGGGGTGCCCACTAGGGAGCTGGTAGCCCCTCAACCCCTCACTCCACCCACTTCAGATGATTCAAAAGGCTGAGTGACCAGACCCAGGTCAGAGCCGGGGATCCCAACACAGCTCTGCACCCCCTGTGGCCAGAGCAGCAGCATCCTGGCCCATAGGACCCCACACACTCTGTCTTATGGGTGGGAGGACACCGGGTGCCCAAGCCAGCCAGACCCAGGCCCAAAACCCAGGGTTAGGCCACATGCCTGCCATGTGAAACCACTGGAGAAATAGTGTGCAGCGAAACCACTGGAGAAATAGTGTGCAGAGGGCAGGTACACACGGCAGGCCATCCACCTTCATACCATCCAGTGGTACCTGAGAGGCAGGTGACCTCACCAGGTAGGGGCACTGCCTTGCCCCTGACCTCCAGGCTGGGCAGAGCCTGCCACTCCAGGATATAGCACCATCTGACTTGGAGTCTCTAATCCACAGAGTGTCCATGTCAGAAGGACCCAGAGATGGCCAGGCGTCCAACCAGTCCCCACCTTGCCACAGACATGGTGACTAGGGTCAAGAGGGGAAGAGTGATCGATGCAGAGCCTGGCAGCCAGAGGGCACACAAGGTGGACACCGGAGCTGGGCAGGTCAGAGGCCAGCACCACGCTCCCAGCCTGGTCATACGCCCCACCCCCCACTAGACACATACATAGCTACATACAGCCACCAGCCTGGCACAACCCCAACAGCCTTAGCCCCAGGGTTGGTCAAAACAGCCAGTTCCACCCCACGTCCTCACCTCACCCCACAGGCCAGCCCAGGGCCACCTGTGCCCCACAGTGGTCACTCCTGGAAACAACCTCCCTAGGAAACCCCAGAGCAACTGCCCAGGGGTGGGGGCCCCAGGTACAGCCACTTCGTGACTCTCCCTGTAGCCAGTTTGCTCCGACCCCCTCCCCTCCCCCACCCGTGGCTCTGCCACCTCTGGAACTCCAGTAAGAACCCAAGCTGCCTGAGCAGCCAGGAGGCTTTGGGGGCTGGATCCATCCCAGGCATGAGTGCCCAGGAGGTCCCCAGGGGTGACAGGATGAGGGAAGGAAGGCTTCCCAGGCTGTGCACCAACTGCAGAGGTGGGAGTGTCAAGCAGGTCCTCGCCATGACCGGGGGAAGGACGCCCCCTGATAGGGCTGCACAGACAGGCTCTCACTGGAAGGCAGTGGGGAGAGGCCCATCATGGAAGGTCCAAGGACACAGGCCCCCTGCCAGGGGTCTCCAGTGTGTAAGCACAGCTTCCTCTCCAGACCTTGCCACTGGGGGCACTTTCAGCCTGGGAGGCCAGGGACAACTGAGCCCAGCCAAGCGGTGGGGGCAGAGCCCAAGGCCTCCTCCTCAGAGTCCCAGAGACCCCCAGCAGTGCCAGGGTGGATGGTCCAGCCCCACACTCTCATGGCCCCGGAGCAGGCATGGAGCAGGCAGAGAGTCAGGGAAAAGCACTCAGAGGCACAGTAGGGATGCGGGGTCCAATTCTCACCCCCCAGAGGCATGTGGCTCTGTCTCTCCACCCTCACTTCATCACTCAAGAGCCCGGTGCACACACAGCCCCCAGTAGGCAGAGGGCCCATTGACTGGGGCCAGTTTTTTCCCCAGCCTTGGAGTGGGCAGCCCAGACAGAACCCACAGGCCCCAGGGGCAGAGGACCTGGGGCAGCCAGGAGCTGGCCAGCTTGTCCTGTCGTCAGTCACAGCCCTTGCCCTCTCCAGACCTCAGTTTCCCCAACTGAAACAAGGCAACCTCAACCAGCCCATCACAAACACCCTCCCCCCTTTTCCCTGTGACTTGAGAGCTGAGAGTCCGCAACCTGTCCCTGCCCACCTCAGGGTGTTGTCCCAGAGGCGCTGCGGCAAAAGGCCCCCTGGTCAAGCCCACCCCCTCCTCCCACAAAGTCCCCCAACCTGGCTGTCTCCCCAACACTGCCCTGGGACTCGTGAGGATACGTGACTCCCCACCCATCCCCGCAGCCTCTTGGAGGGTCCCTGCTGCCCTCTGAGCAGGGTACTGCTCCCCTGGCCTCTGTCTCCCCATCTGTATGTCTGCTGACCACCCTCGCCCAGCCTGGGAAGAGGAAATGGGAGCCCCTCCACCCTCCTTCTCAGACACCCCCTGGCCTCCATCCCCGACGGCTGCCCTAACTTGGGGCTGGGCCTACCTTTCCGATGCTGCTGGGGTTGTCCTTGGACTTGGAGGCGGCCCTGAGCAGGCAGGGGGGCGCCGGGGGCGGGCACAGCTGCAGGACCCCGCTGAAGTCAGTGGGGTAGGTAGAGGTGCCACGGGTGGCTGGAGGCGGTGGCGGGTGTGGCTTCTTGCGCTTGGAGGCCAGGCTGAGCTTCTGTGCGGCCCTGGGAAGGAGAGCAGCAGGCGCTCAGTGGCACCGGCAGCCATCTTTGTCCTTCCCTCATCCCCGTCCCCAGCCTGCGCGAGACTCCAGATCTCTCGCCCTCGGGCTGCACTGGCCACTGCCAGGAGATGAGACCCAGGACACACGGCCAGAGTGGGGTCTGGCCTCCTGTCTGCAGGCCAAAGGCTGTGGCCGGAGCTTCCACAGGAGCATCTCCCTGCGCTCCACCCCGCATTCGAGCCAAGCCGAAGGCAGAGGGTTCAGCAGCACAGGCCAGGCGCCCCTTCCTGCACACATGGCCCTCCCCACAGAGCCTAATCCCCGGCTGGCAACGAGACAAGTCTGGCCAGACAGCCCAGGCTGCAACTGGCATGTTGCCATAGTATCCCTGTGCCTCAGTTTCCCCATCTCTGAAATGGTAGGGCATAAGCCCTGGAGGCCTTGGTGTGGTCCTGATGTATGAATGCATTCAAGGCACCCAGCATGGTGCCCACATACAGAAGGAGTTCCATTAATGCTGCTATCATAACTACCCGGTCCCCCAGGCCCTGGGTCGGAGGCTGCCTTGCCCTCCCTTACACCAAGGGCCCAGATCTGTCCTGGAGGTGCCACCCTACTGCCCAGCCACCCTCATCACCAGGCCTCTACTGCTGCTGTGGCCCCAGCCCAGTGACATGCCTCCCACCCACAGCTCAGCCTGCACATGTCCACCAGGAAGCTCGCAGAAATGCAGAGTCTCAGGCAAACCCCGAATACAGAGCCTTTGGGGTAAGGCTGACACCCAGGCCTTAACACGCCTTCGAGGGGATTCTGACGCACATTTGGGAGCCTCTGGGTGACACCCAGACACACACACACAGAGACACACAAACACACACACACACAGAGATACACACAAAACACACAGTCACACAGACATACACACACACACAGAGACATGAACACACACAGACACAGACACACAGGTGCACACAGAGATGCACACAGAGAGAGACACACACACACACACAGAGACATGAACATAGAGACACACAGGCGCACAGAGACACAGGGGCACAAACACACAGAGACACACACACACATACACACAGAGACACATGAACATACACTCACACAGAGCTACACAAGCACACAGACACAAAGACAAACTCACAGAGATACCCAGAGAGACACTCACTCACACACCACACAGGCCCACCCCACCCGAGGCCTTGCTCATAGAACCCTGCTGCTGGGAACATGCCCAGGGGCCTCCCTGTGCCACTCCTTCTCCAGGGTGGGTTTCTCTGTGGCCCCCCACCCCTTCCCTGAGGGCCCCCAGACCCCCATGCATGTTCTGCCACAGGCACCCCAGAGCCCCCAGCCCAGCC